GACTGGTTCCTTTCCAGATGGCCTCACCCCTGTGGCCGGCAGTCAGAACATTCCACCGGCGGCGTTTCTTCCGGGAGTGCGTGAGTGAGAAGCAGTGAGACAGGACTTGGGGCATTGGGCAGATCTGGGTTTGCCTCCGAGTGACACCTTTGATGGTGGGTGGCCCTTGACCCTCCAAGCCCCCATTTTCTTTGCTGCTGGATGGCAGGATCCAGGAGGGAAATGGTATTCCAGATCCCACCCACAGCAACTTAGTTCCTGGGGATAAACATTCTGATGGTGAGTCACCAAGGACTCCACTAGGAGGAGAGTTTTCCTGGGGCCCTGAAAACTCAGAATTCTATCCCGTGGGGTTAAGGGACCCCTCCTTCCTGTGCACCCCAGAAAGCACAAGCCTCTGTCAGAGGTAGGTGCAAGTGGAAGGTCGAAGTGAGAGAGGATAGAGCTAGTGCCTCTGGAAGACTTCCTGAAGGAGGTGGCAGGAGAGGCCAGGTCTTTAAGGAAGAGTGAGGCCTCACCAGGCATGAAAGGGAGGAAGGGCATTCCAGGCAGTGGGAACATGTGCAAAGGCACAGAATCAGGATGGGCCTGGTACTTTCCAAATCAGCAGGAATTAAATGTCACCAGAGCTGTGTTTCTCAAAGTGTTGTTCTAGTACACCGAAGGGCACTCTGCAGGCAGGAGCTGAGACTAAAGACGGAGACAGAAGCAGACCACGGAGAGCCTTGAATGCCACGCCAAAGATATGTACTTAGAGATACCCAAGGCACAGCGGTCGGAGCAGGCTCCCTGCACGGAGCCAGCACAGGGGGTTCGCACATGTCTGCGTGTGCATCGGGCACATGTTCCACGCTAAGCTGTGGCTGCCCTTGAGGGCTAATTGGCCAGTGCCACCCCTGAGAGACACAGAACAATGTAGATGTGGGGGGGCCGCGGCCCTATGCTACGGCCACATTTGCTGGGTGATGACCGTAGGTAAATGTCAGAAGCCTCCCCAGGGGACAGCAAATTCTCCAGAAAGTGCCTTTTCAAAGGCTATAAAGGCAAAGATGAGAAGACGTAAGAGGAAGCAGGGTGGCGTGCGCGCCTGAGCTCCCGTGGTCAGCCTCTGCGGCAGGGGGAGGGAGGGGTTGAAGCCTGCTGTCACAAACGTCATCATTTCTCTCCCTCTCCCTCTCTCATACATACACACACACAGAGAACAGTTAATTACTGAATCTTCATGGACAGTTAGACAAGATCTAATGTACATCGTATTTTTTTCAAGTTTTTGTGTGTGTTTGAAAATTTTCACTATAAAATGTTGGGAGAAATGGGCCTATTTTCCCATATCCAGTTAGACGCATTAACCAGACCCACTGTGTCCCAAGGTGAGCATGCCCAAGCTTCCAAGGGGACTGCACCCACGCACCCACGCACCCCCACACATGCCCACGCCTGTTATAGAGACAACAGGAAATGTTGGATGGATGGACAGACAGGTGGATGGTGGACGGACAGGTGGGTAGGGGATGGAGAGAGGTAGCCAAGATTCGGGCCCTGCCAGAGGGCAGACACAGAGCCATATTAATGACACGAGGCAGCAGGTGCCAACAGTGTAACTTGGTACAAAGCACAAGGGTTGGTGCCCTTGCCTCTAGGCATTCAGAAAAGCGGAGGTATCTGAGCTGGGCCTTGAAGGGAGAGGGGGTGACATGAACATGGGATTCCAGGTGAAGGAGACGGCGAGGGCAGGTGTGAGAAGTGCTGCATTTGGGGAAGGGCCCGGCTGCCCGAGTGGCAGCGCTGGGAACAGATCCGGCCGGGAGGGCGGACTGCAGTCTGATCCCAGAACAGGCCCTCTGGCAGCGCGAGCTAAGTCTGAATCCTGGCTCTCCGGCCACTTACAAGGGCGTGCCAGTCACGTGGCCTCTCTGAGCCTCCTCTCAACTCACGTCGAGCAGCGATTTCCCCGTGGCAAGGCTGAAATGTTATTTCACCGAACGTGCATGCCATCGCCGTGCGCAAGGCTGTGCTAGCGGACGGCTGTGCCATGATTTGCTGAACCGTCCTCCTGCTGACAGACACCCAGGTGTCCATCACATGTCCTTCTTTCTGTCTTCGCGCAACAGTGGTCAAATTGCCATCGCCTAGTTTCCCAGGAGGATGCGTTAGATCTGAGGGCCCTGGAAGGGCGTCCCTTCTATGGTGGTAATTTTTGAACGGATTAAGGAAAGTCGCTAAGTGATGTGTACAGTGTGAATGAAACGGTGTCCTGCGTGTACCTGTATCCATGCAAAGGCCCAAAGAGAGAAGGGATCTATCACACCAAACAGTTGGCAACAGACACCTCCCGGGTGTGAGGGCTTGGGCGCATGGTGTCCGAATAACTGACCCTTCCCGTATACCTCAGGACTCGTGGCCCACTGCAATAAGCATGACATTGCTTTGCAAGCTTGAAAGGGAAGTCAAGGAAGTGTTTTTCTATGGTGGCCGTGGTGGTGATAATGATGACGATGACTATGGGGTGCCATCTACAACGATCGTTTCAGCTACAGGGTTTGGGGTGAACTGCGCTCCAAGCAGAAGGCCACCAGAAACTTCTGGTATGTGGGCTGACAAAGAGAAACACAGTAGGTGTGCTTCTCATCTGAAAAAGGAACCCCTGCTAATTTGGTCATTGCTGTGCCCTCAGCACCTGCAACCAGCATTTGGCACATTGGAGGGTTCTGAAAAACATTTACTGAATAGGACAGAGAGAGGAAAGAGAAAGAAGGAAGGAAGGAGGGACTGGGGAGGGAAGGAAGGAAGAGGGAGGAACGCATTTCTAATTATATAAGATGCCAGTTCATTCCCTTTAGAAAACCCCCAAACATTGACTAAAATGTCGGGCCAATGCCAGAATACCTATAACCGCACTGTCAAGGAAACTCAGAGAATATTTTGATCAGAAATAAGGATTCTCAAAAGAAGGGGAAAAAAAAGTACCCTTGCTGCTGTGTCTCCAGCGTTGAGTGTGGCGGTGAGAGCCATGCTCTCTGGGCTTTTTAAGTAATGAAAAGGTCTTCTAAAAATAACACCCAGAGGCGCGGTGCGTGAGGCCGAGTGGCTGAGCAGGCTGGAGTGGCAGCAGGTGACCAGGAGCTGTGATCCCTGCACCAACACAATGGTTATGATTAAATGATGCTTCTCATGTTCAGGGTGCAGACCACTGCAAGCAAGAGCTTGGGAGAGGCTTAAATTGTGTCCCATGGAGGTTAGATTGCTTCCGAGAGGTTCTGCTGTGGACTGGATCTCTGCGCAGGCCCCGGTCCCAGGAGACTGTCGGTGCTGGGGTAGATCCAGAACAGCTCCCATGAAAGGGTCCAGGAATCAAGCAGGGCCTTAAGCGCCCTTTGCACCCATTGGAGTCAGAGAATATCAGCACTAGCAGGTAATCTCTGAGATTTCACCAAGAGGCACGTGGGTGCAGCCATTATATTGAAGTGATGTTTGCAGTGGGACGGGAGGGAGGAAGGGAGAGAGGAAGGCACTGGAAACAACCCAAATACCCATGACAGAAGGATGATAAACTGTAGCCAGCCCCTGACCACCACCACCCCACCGCCCCGCCCCAGGGACTGTTACGCAGCGATTGAATGATTTCGTGACTTCCGTGACAGCTGACTGGATGTGGGGCCACACATGTTGCCAGGTTAGAAAGGATTTAGAGAGATGGGTAGAGCAGGTGTCCGCTGGGGTGCGGTTAGCCGACCACGGCAGCAGTGAACCTGGCCCTCTGCCTGGCCCGTGCAGCCCACGAACTAAGAATGGCTTTTACATTTTTCAATAGTTTGGGAATAGTTGTATAGAGTTGGAGAAAATGTAAAGAAAAATATTCTATGACATGTGAAAGTTACGCAAAATTCAAATGTCGCTGTCTGTGGTCAAGTCTTCTTGGAGCACAGGTCTGCCTCCTCGGTGCCCGGCTGTGGAGGTGACTCCCTCCGGGGTGCCAGAGCCGGGCCGCTGCAACAGACGCCAGGTGGGACGCAGAGTGGGAAACGTGTTCCTGAAATAGCTCACTGGCCCTTGATTGAGGGTCCGATAACGTTCTGCACAACAGCGGTGTCGGGCCTGTTCTTGGCACTGCGTCAGAGCAAATTCATTACATTGGTTTATTTATTCATTCATTTTGTGATTTACCCCTCAGACTCTTAATGCCTACCCATGGTTCCGTGGGGAGCCAGCACTAAACAATCAGAGGCAGCCCGCCTCATGGAGCTCGGAGTCCATGTCTAGATCTTTCTTTCTCCAGTATAAACAATACTTCACACGGTGACACGTGGTCCAGCCCCGTGCATCTCAACTCCTTTCCTCCTCCACTGTGTATCCTGATTGCCGCAGTGCCTCCTAAGAAGAGGCACTCACACAAGCCCCAGGCCTCCTGGTATCTTGCAGGAGGTCAAGGCCTAGAGCAAATCATCATGAAGCAGGTCACTTTCTTGGTCTGGTTTCAAGGTGCTCAACACTCAACCTTGCATTTTCAGCTCCTGCCCTCCAGCATTCCCAAGGGGGCGACACAGCAGGCCTTGACCCCTGTCACGTGGATGGGAGTCGCCGTTAGCTATGGAGGAGAACACAGCCACGTCGCCACCTGATCCCTCCCACGCAAAACCAAAGCCACGACCAGACACATGCGCCAGTGCCTCAGTCTCGATGCAAAACCTGGAGAATGGAGGCCTGCTTCGGGCCCAGGAGGAAGCCAGCCCTGCAGGGGATGATCTGAGGACCGGAGTTTGAACCGCCAACTTTGCCTGTTCTCCAGTCACGCTCATGCCCAACACCTCCTAGGAGACTGCTTTATTTATTGGTAGAAAAATAGCACTGAGCCCGTTGTTGTAGCCTCCCCACGCCTGGGCACTTCCTTTTGGCTCTGTTGGGCAGCCTGGAGTCCCTTGGCTGACGTAACTGACCCACTGGGGAGCTGGAAGAGAAGCAGCCAGGGCTGTGGGCAGAGGACGGAACCTCGGGACCCCAGGATGGAGTCCAACAACACGGCCTCTTCCTCTTGTCTAGGCTCTGCTGCATTCAAGGTCACTGTGAGCGTGGTCCTCACTGTCCTCATTTTCATCACTGTCGCTGGTAATGTAGTCGTCTGCCTGGCCGTGGGCCTGACCCGCCACCTCCGCAGCCTGACGAACTGCTTCATTGTGTCCTTGGCCATCACCGACCTGCTCCTCGGCCTCCTGGTGCTGCCCTTCTCAGCCGTCCACCAGCTGTCCTGCACGTGGAACTTTGGCAAGGTCTTCTGCAACATCTATACCAGCCTGGACGTGATGCTCTGCACGGCCTCCATCCTCAACCTCTTCATGATCAGCCTTGACCGGTACTACGCCGTCACAGACCCCCTGCGCTACCCCGTGCTGGTCACCCCAACCCGGGTCGGCGTCTCCCTCGTGGTAATTTGGGCCGTCTCCATCACCCTCTCCTTCCTGCCTATCCACCTGGAGTGGAACGGCAAGAGCAAGACCAGTGGGCTCAATCACACCATTCTGTCCTGCAAAGTTCAGGTCAACTTGGTATACGGCTTGGTGGACGGGCTGGTCACCTTCTACGTGCCTCTACTGGTCATGTGCATCACCTACTACCGCATCTTCAAGATCGCCCGGGACCAGGCCAAGAGGATCCATCACGTCAGCTCCTGGAAGTCAGCCACCATCAGGGAGCACAAAGCCACAGTGACGCTGGCTACTGTGATGGGGGCCTTCATTGTCTGCTGGTTCCCCTACTTCACCGTGTTTGTCTACCGTGGGCTGAGAGGGGATGATGCCATCAACAAGGTCTTCGAAGCCGTCGTTCTGTGGCTGGGCTATGCCAACTCGGCCCTGAACCCCATCCTGTACGCCGCACTGAACAGAGACTTCCGCAGGGCATACCAGCAGCTCTTGCGCTGCAGGCCTGCCAGCCACTACGTCCAGAACCCTGCTCTGAGGACTGACAGCTCTCGGCTCTCCAGGACTAAAAGCCAAGGACCCAGGCAGCAGGAAGAGAAGCCCCTGAAGCTCCAGGTGTGGAGTGGGAGAGAGGTCGCAGCACCTCAGGAAGTCCCAGACAGGTAACTTCCCTGGCTTTTCAGGCCCCAGCAGGGGCACAGGGAGAGGTCCCACCAATGGTGGCCATTAAGGTGGTGGCCGCTCGCGAGGTGCTGGCACTCCCCGCGAGCACTTTGCGAACCTCGTGTTGTGCCACCATACCCTAGCGCCCTTTGGGTACGATGAATAGAGGTGTAAGTTTTTACCTCTATTTTAAAAGGACCACAGCTTACCCAGGGCCACAAAGCAGGGACCTGGGAAGAGGTCCCCAAATCCAGAACTTGGGAGCCTTTTTTTCTAGCTACGTCGTCCTGACAATCAGAAGTTCTAAATTTGAGGCCCAACTCTCCTGCGTAGCTAGTAGCCGTGGTGTTCATGTAAACCCTGCAGGACAGCCCTCAGGTGGCTGTGCACGAGCGCTGACACCTGGAGGTGGAATGAGAAACCCACCTGGTCCCCCGAGCACCTATGATGCACCAGCTCTCACGCTGGAAAGAGGGCTGGCCAATTTGGGAAAGCGGGGCTTGGACATTGTACCATGGGTCTTAGGGACAGTGGAAGGGTTAAAAGCAAGGCAGGGTGACCTGGGCAGCTCTGTGCTTTGGAAAGAGGGCTCTGGTTGCCCCTTAAGATGTGGATGAGAAGGATGAGACAGGGCATCAGTGAAGGAGGCTGGTCTATGAGAAAGGAGAAGAGAATAGAGGAGAATCTAGGAGGCTATGAAAAAAGACAGGCTTGGGAACACTGGATGTTCAGGGCGCAGGGGACTTAAGAGAAAGATGCCCCAGGATTCATCTCCAAGGGGGTATCATGGCCAAAAAGGTAAACAGGATCAGAAGGAGACAGACGGGCCCGCCGGTGACGCGGCCAATGCAGGGAGTTCGGTGGGAAACTGCACCACGGACCCGAGGGCACACGCTTGCTCGCCGCACGGGGAGGACGGCCTGGATGAGCTGGGAGAGTGAGTGACAGTGTGCTGGCAGGACACCTGACACACAGACATTCTCAGCTAGTGTCCCTTTCCCTTCTCTTCCACAGACCATGCCTTTGCACCCTAGACTGCTTGTCTGTGTGACTGAGCCATTCGTTCATTCATTCCTTCACTCGCAAACATTCAGCAGCTTCCCACCATCGGCTGAGAACTGGGCTGGGCTCCAGGGATGTAGCAATGGCATTTTGAGCGTTCCTCAGCTCAGCCCTCACTCACTCTGGCTTCAGCAAGTCCCCGCCTCTCTCTGGCCTCAGTTTCCTCATCTCACAGAGTAGGAGATCCTCACGCCGCAGCCTGCCCTGCTCACCTCCCAGGGTTGCCCGAAGCGTATGTGCGTTAAGGGACCCAACGGGCTCTGCGGCCCCCGCGGCCCCCGCAGCCCCCGCGGCCCCCACGGCCCCCGCAGGTAATGTCCATTCTTGAGCACTGAGCGTCAGTCTCAGGAAAAGCTTGGCTGGACACCGCAGACCCACAGCCTCGGGGTTCCGGTCCCTGCAGACCACGGTGGGGGAACACTGCCCAACGAGACTCCTGGGCCTCATGCCCGCTCTGGTCAGTGCAGCGGCCAGGGGTGGAGTGTTCCGCCCCCCAGAGACTTGAGTCTCGGGCCCTCCACCCCCTCACTGCTAACCTGTGTCCGGCCTCCAGATTGTCCCTCTCAAATCTACCCTCGAAGCCACCTGAAGGTGTCTCTCCACAATGCCCGTCCATGTCCTGCCACCCTCTCTCATTCAGGAAGCAGCCTCAAGTGCAAGGCTAATTTAGTTCACGAAGCAAAGAACAAATTGGGGAGTGTGCACTCTTGAGCAGGTGCCAACGAGATTCAGTCTAGTCATATATGCTGCTTCCTTCTGCTTTTCCCTGTGTGACCTCCAGGTGACTAGGCTGCTCCACCCTAATCCTTAGGGAAACATTCAGTAAGCAATTAACAAGAGCTAGCACTCACTGGGCACCACCAGCTGCCAGGTTTACAATGGCGCCATTGTTTTTATGTGTTGGTCATTCTGTGAGGGCATCCTATCCCCACCCCTGCGCCAGATGCTAAGGCTGCAAAAGGAGAAAAGGGCCCACCCCCACACCACAAGCAGCCGCTTGGGGCAGACAGAGCTGAGGAGCAGATTGGCCGTGGTTCAATCTGCAGCACGTGCCAAGGATTGACACACAGGTGAACACCAGGTGAGATGGCACCTGACCCAGGCAGCCCGTCCCAGGCAGCAGGCCTCTGAGCTTAGCCTTGAATGAAGACAAGAAAGACCTGCTCACCCAGGGTGACGGCGGACCCTTCAGACTCGTAGCCTTGTTTTATTCTCCACAGGATCCCATGAAGTGGGTGTCCGTATAGTCTTCACTTTACAGATGGGAAAGCTGAGGCTCAGGGATGCACATTAAAGTGCCCAAGTGACCAAGCCAGTGAGTCAGCCAGAGCCGAGGCCTGAGCATCCGCGGAGGCGGCAGCCCCCATTCCCGACTGTCCTGGGGGCGCCCGGCACACTGCACGACGTGAGCACCCGCCTACCCCACTGATCCGCACGGCCACCGCGGGTGCACGCCCAGGGCGGCGCGGAGGCCGGCGGAGAGGCCGGGCCTGCCTGAGCCCCACACAGCAGCCGGACGCCGTGGACAGAGAGAGGGGTGTGGCAGAGGGGGACGGGGAACCAGTTGGAGGGCCTCACACAAGGGAAGGGACATGGGGGCAGGCAAGGGCAGGCAGAGGTGGATTTTCCCACCGAGGTTCCGGGGCAATTGCGACCTTGAATGGACCTCCATGAAGGTGGGCTCTCAGCTTCCCTGATGTCGATAGCATGACCTTCCTGCTGTCCTTCTGGGAACAAAAAACAGTGTTGACCTGGCTAAGAGCCCTTGTCACTGCTCAGCGGGTGGGGGTGTCTGTTTGAGCTGAGAATCCCAAGGGACTGATCGGGCCTGCCCTTGGGCTGGTAGCATGGTCAGCCAAGGGGACACTCAGGAGAGAGCGTGGCCCAGCCGGCCTGGGGCCAGCCAGCAGCCACCTCCACCTCACTGCTCCTGGGCTCTGGCCCTGACAGCCTCCCCCGCCTCCTCTCTGACCCCCAGGCCCGAGCCCCTCCCCCTGCTCAGTGACCTGAGCTGCCACTGGATAGAGGCTGTGTGAGCTTCCTGGGGCTGCTGTATCTAATGGCCATGAACCTGGTGGCTGAAAATGCAGATTCCTTCTCCTACAGTTCAGGAGGCCCAGAGTCTGAGATCAGGGTGTTGGTAGGGAGGGCTCCCCCCAGAAGCCCCAGAGCGGACTCCGCTCCCTTGCCTTCTCCAGCTTCTGCACGCTGCCCGCACTCCTTGCCCCGCGGCCCCTTGCCTCCATCCTCACCTCGCCTTCTCTGTAGCCAAGGCTGCCTCTGCCTCCCTCTTACAATGGGGATTCGGGGAGAATCCGGGGTAACCGCCCCGTCCTAAAGTCCTTAAGTTAATCACATATGTCACGTTCTTCCTGCCATACGCAGGCAATGTTCTGAGGTTCCGGCCATGAGGATGTGGGCCTCTCTGGGCAGGTTCAGCTGCCGGAAGTCCCAGCTCCCCAGCCTGTCATTAGAGGCCCTGACCACTTCAGAAAGCACCGCCACCGCCCCCCAGACCCCCAGCCACCCTCCATCTCTTTGGCCCCTGCCAAAGCAAGCCACTCAGGGCCACGGACTCACAGGCACTCACCAAGGGTTTGCTATGTGCCTGCACTGTTTGGGGCGCAGCAGTGGGCGCAGCAGAGGCCCTCATCTCTGAAGGACGTTACTCGTGAGCAGTGGCTCTCAAAGTGCAGCCCCCAGCCAGCAGCAGGCTTCCAGAAGCAAAGCAGCCAGCATCGGGCTACACGCCTCAACCGGGGGCAGAGCTGGGATTCGAGCCCACGCTGCCTAGCCGTGAATTTCGCCCAGACTCATAGGTACCAGATGGGGAAACTAAGGCACAGGGAGGCAAGCGACCTATCTGAGGCCCACAGTGAGCCCAGGAGGGGCTGGGAGCAGAGCCTGCATCTCTAGACCCCTGCCCGGGGCTCTTGAGTTCTTCTCCCCGTACTCACTGGCTCTGAATAGTTTCCCAAGGCAGGGAGATACTATTCACAAATCTCCGGCTTATCAGCAGTCTCCCTGAGGTGTGACACTTCCTCATTCCTGCAGAACCCCTGTGCCAGGAGTCAGGGCTCAAGAAAGACCCCGGGGGAAGAGGTGCAAAGGGAGGCAAGCTGTCCCCACCCCTCCACCAGCCCTCCCCGGCCTGCTTTCCTTGCCTCTGCAGCCAGGGAGAACACTGCCCAACATAGAGGGGACTATGCTCTGCCCCTCCCGGTGCATGTGGCATAAACCACCAAGTTGTTATCCTGACCGCTGAGGCCCTGTGCCCCATGTGCCCTGGGCTTTCCTACCCCTTGGCATACCCTTCACGTTTAATGTCTGTTCCCCCAGACAGTGAGCTCCCTGAGAGCAGGCCCATGTCTCTGACGCTCACTGCTGTGTCCGTAACACCTCGCACTGTGCCTGGCATGAGACAGGCCTAGCAATATTTGTTGAAAGAAAGAATGAATGAATGAATGAATGAATGAATGAATGAGCGAGTGAATGACTACAGTACCTTGTTCTAGGTCCTTAGGAGCCCTGAGAAGTGACTAATACTGCACCTACCATAGAGACGGGGAAACCAAACCTCAAAGAGGGAAGTTCCAGGGACCTAGGAGGGGTTCAGGAACTCCTGGGTCCCCCTTTTCAAAACTGGGTGTCACAAGGGTCCTCCCTCCAAATTACTGGCATCAGGGGCAGGCCTCACAGAGCAATGCACCGCTGGCTGTGATCCAGAGTGTCAGAGTCATAGAGGAGGAAGAGGCCCCTCCTCTTGCTCTGTCCCAGGAAGACGAGCCCAGGAAGGTGAGGAGACACGTGCCAAAAGCACAGGAAGTGCTCCAAGCTGGGAGGGGTCCCCGGACACTGCCAAGCTGGGCCAGAGGCTGGGGACCCAGGGGACGGTAGAGCTGCCTTCCTTTCTGCTGTAAGCTCAGTCCAGGCAGGTGGATGAGACCATAGAGACCCTAACACCATAAGCAGGAAAGCAGCAGCTGGTGCTCAGAAAGGAAGTTTCCCAGAACTCACCCCTTCAAGAGCTCAGATCTGCTTACTTGTGTCACATGGGTTCTAACGGTGCCTCGCTTTCTGGCACGTTGACTCCAGCAGTTCCTACAGCCTTTGGGTGTGCTCTCCACTCTCTGCAGAGGCATCCAGAACAGTTTGCTCCCTGCCTGCCAGCTAAGGGGCCTGGCTGCCCCCCTCCAGCAAATCCTGCTGGCTGCCTGTCACCTGTGCCGGCGGTGCCTGGCCTGGCAATCGCCCCATAAGGTGGGAGCGGGATGTGGGGGCTGCTCTCCTGCCTCAGCGTGGAAGTTAGGAGGCCCAGGATGCATCTGGGCCCCACCCTACAGTGGCGGGACAGGTCCTGGGCCGCCTGAGCTGCGGCAGCCTCTGTTCGGGTACAGCTGCGAGGGTTTACTCTGCGGAGCTGCAAGAACAAAAGGAGCAGGGACACAGGCACGGAGTGTGGCTCCAGGCGCATGGCTGTGCTCGAAGAGACGTGAACTTTGTTCTTCACCATCCATCTTTCCCTCTTCTCTCTCATTTTGCCTCTTTTTGTTCATTTCCTATCTTTCTTCCCTATAAACAGTTTCGTTGAGATGCACACCATATACAGCACAATTCGGCCATTTCAGGCGCACAGTTCACCGGCTTTCAGTGCCTTCACAGAGCTGCGCCACCGTCACCACCGTCTGTTTGAGAACATTTTCACCGCCTCCCCCAAGAAACTCTGTAGCCTTCAGCTCTCGCCCCCTAATCCTCGCCTTCCCCAACAGCCACTAATCTGCTTTCCATCTCTATAGATTTGCCTGGTCGGGCTATTTCCTGTAACGCCTGGTCCTTTGCACCTGGCTCCTTTGTGCCAAGCTGTTTCTGAGGTTTTTTCTCCTCTGCCTTCCCTTCTTTCCTGTGTTTTCTCTATTCTGTTTTGTGTTTTCTTTTCCTCTGTTTCAGCCCTGCCCTCTTCCCTCCATAGTCCCACTGCTCCTTCGCCAA